CCCCCTCCTCTACCACCCCATCCACTTCCCTTCTCTACCACCTCTCCTCTACCGCCCCCTCTCATCACCACCGTTCCCAGCCCCTCCACTACTGCACCCTCCTCTACCGCCCCCTTCACGTCCTTCTTCTACCACCTTCTCCTCTACCGCCCCCTCCTCTAACGCCCCCTCTTCTACCGTCCCCCTCCTCTACCGCCCCCTTCTCTACCACCCCTCCTCTACTGTCCCCCTATTCTACCGCCCCCTCTCATCACCACCGTTCCCAGCCCCTCCACTACTGCACCCTCCTCTACCGCCCCCTCCACTACCGTCCCATCCTCTACCGCCCCATCCTCTATCGCCCACTCCTCTACCACCCCTCCACTACCGCCCCCTTCTCTACCGTCCCCCTCCTCTACCGTCCCCCTCCACTACCGCCCCTCCTCTACCGTCCCCCTCCTCTACCGTCCTCCTCCACTACCGCCCCCTCCTCTACCGTTCCCCTCCTCTACCACCCCCTCCTCTACCACCCCTCCTCTACCGCCCCCTCTACTTCCCTCCTCTACCATCTCTCCTCTACCGCCCCCTCTCATCACCACCGTTCCCAGACCCTCTACTACTTCTCTCCTAGCTTCACCATCGCCCCTACGTCCCTCCACTATACCCCTCCTTCTCGTCGCCACTGCTGCCGTCCCTCCATTCATGATCAAAGAGAGGTCGTGTTCGTGGTACGGCAACACTACTCCCCCAGTCCTCTACTACCGCCCCTCTCGTTACCACCGCCCCACGTCCGACCATTGCCGTCCACCTCTCATCGCCACCGCCCTGTTCTTCCATTCAGTGACATAGAAGTCGTGTTCGTTGTGCGTTACCATCGCCCCCTCTCGTCACTTCCGCCCCCCGTCCCTCCATGATTGCCCCTTCTCATCTCTACCGTCCCTGTCTCTCCAGTCACGATCACAGAGAAATCGTGCTCATAGTTCAATGCCAAATTTTATCACACGCTTGGCGATATTTGTCGCGAAAGTGGTGCGTTCTTCTTTTCAAAAGTGTTTTTTTTTGACAAATGTGGCTTGCTATAACTTCTAGTATAAGTGTCACACAGCTGCCATTAGCTCTGTCACCGAACATCACCTGCAGTAATGCTCCTGTCACCCACTATCCGCTCCCCCGTGATATATCATTAGCCTTATCGTGGACAATATATCACCTGAGTCATTGCGTATCTGACCATCTTTATTGCTGTCACCATCAGCACCACCTAAGGCAGCGTGTGGTGCATCAGTATACGCGCTCAAGACAGAACAGGTCTCATTCCAAGCATTCAATCCTTAAAAGTAGCGCTTACCATTAAACAAAGATTTAGGGGTTTTTCTTCAACCAGAGTAAGTCAGCGTTTTGCACTGCTGCTGCGATTTGCGAGTGATAGTACAGCTGCTATCGTCCAAAAAATAGCTGAATTGTTCACTTTTGTGATAAAAGCATGAAACTTTGCACAATT